AAATGTTTGATGACATTCATAATTTTTTTTGTAGTAATATATCCAAATAAAAATAAAAATTAATGCAACATTTATGTACACATATGTACGTTTTAGAAATGTATGTGTTCTGTATAGTACTGCAGTGATCATAGTGCGTTATTCTTCATAAAACAATAATTACACACAATAAAGTTGGATTTTTCAACATTTTCTATTTTTTATTTAAGACATATACTTGCTTTGTCGACTTGTTTCATGCACATAATATTCCGTATTACGTGTTAGTCAAAAAAAGTAACTTTTCATAAAGAAAAAAATAGAAAGTGCAAAAAAATCTATTTTGTTACGAGTATTTATGTTTTTATAGACAATAACGCATTGCAATCGCTGCAGTACTATACAGAACAAAGCACATTTATTAAACGCGTATATATATGCATATATGTGTACGTAGATGTTATAATAATTATTTTTTAAATTTGCATATATACAACTAAAAAATTTTTAGACTGAATGTCATTAAACATTTTACATTAATCAGAAAGCTTTACATATACTGAATTGTTACAAACGCGATAAGCGTTACATGTACCATCGAGCCGGCCCAGCACCGAAAGCACCGAGGTAGTGGAAGTACGCACACAAGCGAGAACTGCCGTCCGTATGCGTAATGTCACGCTCGGACATTTAGCTTGTGAAAGAGTGCAGACATACTATGTTACGTCTTCTTTCCATCAAGNCGACTATAAGACGAGACACAAGATAACGTTCACGTTGCGCGCTTGTTGCTATATGACAATGTGAAAGTTTTTTCTATATTTACAATCTTGAAAAAAGTACTAATAATATTATCGATAATGATAAGACATCAGAATGCATTACATTTCTTTATTAATTATTAATATGAGTTCATTGTGATAATTTAAGATGTTACAATATTAAAGAAGCATTTCATATACTAGGTTGTTCAATAAGTTTTGCGGTTNGATAAGAGAGAGCGCTGCTACTAACCTAATTTTTTTTTCATTATATTGCTGCACTTTTCCTATAAACATATGTAAAGTTTCAATTTAATCTGTCAAGTCATAATTTGTTCACAAGCCATTTAGTGTTGACGTGTCGCAGCTATTTTTACAATGGAAAAAATCAAGTATCGTGCAGTGATNTGGAGCGCGCCGTCCCCACCGCCAGTGTCCTGGACGACCCGAGCGCCGTCCAGGACCTTGCGCGTCCCGCTGACTTTGGGTCGCACCGCTGGCGGGATAATCGTCCCTGGCGGAAGAACCTCCACGGAGGTCACCACCGGACCACGCAAGGCGTCTGTTTGGGCAGACGCTTCTCGGGTCAGCCCTCTTGTACTAGCCCGGGAGGTGGCCGCGGCAACCCGTATCTCGCACTGCTCGCGGAGATCGTTATACTCTCGGCGGAGAATACTGTTCTCCGCCTCGAGTTCCCTCAGCTTATTGCCGCGCTTCGCGGCCTCGTCTTCAGCGTGCCGCACCCTTAGTCGAAGACCCACGTCGTCGGTGTCGGCCACGCGCAGCGCAAGAACTTCCGCCGCTCTCTCCATCGTTGCCGCAAAGGTTTTGAAATCGCGGATGAAGCCTCCCTTTAGCCGCTTACATCGGATGACTTGGTCGACAAACTTCTCTCTTTCTTGTCGGACCAAGTTTACGATGTCGTCCGGTAGCATGGTTTCAAGAGAGACCTGCTGCTTTGCCACCTCCTGTTTGTGTTTGCTCGGAGGTCGCAAACTCTCCCTGGCGGCATCTGGCAGCGCGTCGTCTTCGGACCCGCTGGCCGAGGAGGCGGGCAGGGGACGAGGCCTGGTGCCAGGTCTCGCCCGTGCTCCCTCTCTTGGCGCCGTCCGCGTCTTGCGGCGCTTCGACCGGCTTCGACTTTTACTCGAGCCGCTTGACGACAACTCTATTACGGAGGAGTCTCGTTCCCGCTCGGCCGGGATCGCCCCGCGTAAGGAAAACTCCTTTTTCGCGGAGCGTCCCTTCCCCCCGCCGGGAGAGGCTTCGGCCTCGCTCCCGAACAGAAGGGAACCCTCGCTCTCGGGCTCCTCGCTCGGCGCCATGTCGTTGGCGAGGCTAGGAGGCCTTGCCGCCCAGAATCTGCTACTATCCGCAGTAGCATGTAAGACCACGAAGCCTGCGTCGCACTCCGTGGCCAACCCTTCGTTGGATAACGACCGAACGGGGGCAGGGTTATCACCCCCGGACTGCCGGGACCTAGGGCTCCGAAACCCTTGGTCCGGTAAGTTTACTATCTTTTCTGAACTGTCCATCATGTCAAAAAGGGTGGTTTTCTGTTAGGGTATCCTTCCCTTAGACCGGCTCCCCCACTGGGGTAACGAGCCAGGCCGCCCGTGGACACTCCTCTTAGTCTGGTGGGTCATGGAAGGCCTGTCCGGCAAGGGAGGCCCTGCCAGGAACCAAAGTTCCCGCCGGCATAGCCCTTCCAATCACTCCCACACGCAAGCCCGGGCCCCACGTCAAGGAGGGAACGTCCAAAAACGCCCGGGAACGAGGGGGGTCCTGTGGCAACTACATAGTAACCACCACAAGCGCCTACACATAGGCAACCAGCGCGGCAGCCATGAACAGGGCCTAAGCCCAGGCGCCGCAGCTCCCGCGGTAGCGGCCCAGAACGGCGGGCGCAGTTCAACTCGCCACCGCTCCGCGGCGTACAAAGTGGACCTTCTCGCGGGAGAGAGTTTTGCGCCGAGGCCTATATAAGAGGCCCGCCTAGCAACAGCAGGCACCGACTACTCTCTCAGCATTGCAAGGAGTACACTACGGAATAGCTAGTAGCATCCGGAGTTCTCCACTCTGCAAGATAAAGAGAAGTATCTTAAAGGGCTCCAACGTAAGGCCAGTGCCACCCCGTTCACCAGGGGTACATTCAGAGCACCAGGAAGCCGACGTCAGAGAGCGACACGTCCATTGGGAGTTGCTGCCGTGGAAACTCCAT